ATGTATGGCATGCTCACCGATTTTCGTATTTGTCTGGCAAATGGCCCTATGCACACGCACGCTACAATCATTCTAAATATGATTTGATTGAGGATTGCTTTTTTTTCTGTAGTTGCTTTAGTGTCGATGTACAACGAATAACATTTCCATCGGATAGAATGTCATCACATTACATTGGGCATTTTTTGTTATCAGTTGATTTGGCACTTTTTATGAAATGCGGATAGCGTGAAAATATATTTTGCTATTGTTTCACTTGGTTTTGTTCAAACTTCAAACAAATCATCAGATACTATATGACATATTTGATTTTGAAAATCATTGTATCCAATTTGGAATTGATCTTACGATACTTTGAAGTTCTCTCTTCTTGTCTTAAACTGAGAGTCTTTTCCATTTATCTCTCTCTCTTTCTCTCCGCGTACTCAGTTTCAGTAACAAGTAAATCTATATAGAACGTCAATATGGCAAAAGCGAAAAAAGAAGATGAAACAAATATATTTCAATCAAAAACCCATGGTAACCGCTTTTAATACGGACCTATTCGAATCGGATTTCTTTTTATCAATGGAATAAACGATTCTCTGAAAATTCGCCGCATTCAATGTTCAGACAAAGGCAACATTTTCATTTAAAATAACATATAGTGCGACATTATAGGAATTGTGAGTCACGGGGTTTACATCAATTTGATCAGAATTCCTTACTTAGGCATGCGCATTAAATTTTATTTTCACCAAATACTGTGGCATTTTATTATTGATAGTGAATGCAACATTGCTACCCTCACGCATGTTTGAGTTAGTTTAAAACAAACTAAATAGATAAGAAGCTGTAGTCATACGATTACATAAACATTAAATTAGAATAACACCGATCTGGCTTTAATTGCATTTGGTGTGATTAGAAACGTGATAACAACGAATGGAAAATTTCACTTCAATAATTCAATCTCGTTATCAATGGATTATTTTCGTATTTAATTTCTATTGTTATTAACTCGTTTGTTTTTTTTTGTCTGGGTTCGAAGCTGGGAGTGTGTATTAATGTGAATCTTATATTAACGTGCATATTTGTTCGATTTACTTGTGATATTTGTTTTGAAATTCGTGGGTTCATAAATGGTAAAATAATTGTAGTAATCATTTCATAATGGGTTGCCATTGTACGATAGAAAAACTACTGCTCACAAATATAATTAGTGCAAAAAGTATACAACATCAATCCACGTTGGTGTGACACATGCATGCGAAGTCTGTCAAGTAAACAAGGGTTCTATGGTCGTAAGTTGGATTGGCCGCCATTGGCGTAAAGTCAATAATGCAAGTGCTTGATGAATGAATGAACACACGAACACACGATGAAACGAATAAACGACTCATTTTCGAAATCAATCAACATTTTTTGGGATCGTTTTTATTCCATTTTGCATTTACTACTCTTCCCAAATACATTTCATCAATGGGAATTAATTTTATGGACACACACATGAGATGTATACATATTGTGCTGAATGTATACATTCAATTGTTTTGATTCATGCTGCATGCGGCACGCGTTAATTGCAAACCATTCGATTTTGAATCATTCACAAATGATCCAAGAGTTCGTGATAGAAAATCATACAAAAAGTAACAGGGCATTAATGTTATGTAAACAATAATGTCATTATTAAAATGCCTATTCAAAAAATATGTGCGCTTATATCAATGTCAATTGCAAGTTCTATTGTTAACCAAGATGATTTTTGTTCAATACCACAATTTATTTGCTCTTATTCTCGTTCAGCCAAATTGAAATGTACATACATTGAATCAATTCAGCCCATGGCATATACGTGCTCCATACGCCAAACAAATCAAAGCTTGTGCGTCTATTTCTATATGGGGTCCTTATCTCACTCTGTTCTCTTATTAGAATGCGTTATTGTGTCAATAACAACAAGACGAAAGATTACGCCGGTACAGCATCTCGTCAAACATTTGATTCTACATCCTCCACTTAAGCAAATTGTTGGTTCAATTCATTTGTGATCTCTTAAATTCCATCACCCATCACACCCTCCAAAAAAACATGACGATAACACAATATTCAATTTTAAATGATCGAATACTCTTCGCGTTTAAACATAGACTGGAAACAGTTCCGTATATATATGCATGTTTGGAGAGTATTTATGGCATTTTCATCTATTTGAAATTTCTTTGAAGTTTATTCAATGCATATGTAAATGCGAAAATTGAGTAGATTTCTCTTGTTGCCAACCGGAAATGTTTGTAATTTTTTTACAGGCCAACCGACATTACTTTTTACATCCACTTGGCATATGTTAACTATCAATAAATGTTTAAAATGTGCGGACGCAGTATGTGATATACACAATTTACATTCGATTTCCGATCGTGAGAATGCTATCAATGTGTATGGCATATGCATTTGACGTTGTACTTATCTTCAATCATTGCTTTATTGATATTAGCCAATGATCTGAGCAAAATGGCTGCTTCAATGCAGAAAAAAAGGGAAAATTTATTGATCTTGATGTTGAAAGAAACGAAAAAAGAATTGAGATGAAAACTGACATTTTTATGGTAGAGAGTTCTCGTTTCAAATCTCACTCGTAATCTCAGTCTTTAATGCCACAGTAAAAACCATGAAATATCGTTTACGTTCAAAAATAATGAACAAACTTTTAGTTTTTGTTGACGACGAACATGATGTCGGTGTTGGTTGACTGACTCACTAACTATGGCTGGTATGCAGTACAACACATGCCCATATAAATATATCGTTTATAAAGGCGAACAAAAAAAATAGATAATTTATTGTTTCAATTTATATAGACGCGTTTTTCTTCGTCTTTTTTTCACAATTTTGGCATGGTATACAACTTTTCGGCGATGCGTTTCAAAAATCGCGCTCTTCTGGTTCAAACGACCTTATAAGGATCACTGAATCGGAAGATTAATCATTCTCATCGAAGCAAACAACAAAGTCTCTACAATAGAACATCACATGGCCACACAATATAGAAAGTTATTGACAAGTATTACATTCTAGTCACATACCTCCCTCTTTTTTGCCATCTTCCTTTCAATCACTTTGCCGCTCGAAACGATTCACGATTTTTTTTTTTTTGTGCAAAAACATAAATTATATTGAACACGTTTCGCGTATAAAATTTCAAACGATTTTGTCTCCAAAACATTGAACAATTCTTTTTTCTCTCAAAGATATCAATCTGTGATTGTTAAAGTTCGACTTGATTTCTTTGGTAGCGATAATACCACCGATTTTGTTCTATAAATTCCGAATATGCATTTGATTCGATTGGCTTCAGTGTGCAGTTTGCACATTCAACACCGAAAATTTGATTTTTGTTATAATTTCAGTTGTTTTTTGGTTCATTCAAAATTTGAAATCGCATTGAAAATGTTTAACAATTGACTTTGAATTTCATACAATTTCTGTTTCGCTTAAATTGTATTATGTTGTATTGAAATTGAATGTCAAAATCACAAAAGTGTTGCGTTCAAATTATTTATCGATAATCACGATTCGTACATTTTATTAGATTTGACACACACAGATTTTGTATGATTGTTCATCAAACTTTCTCGATTCGCGCATTGAAAAAGGAAGAACAATTTTCCATTGTGGCTTTTGTTTTCGATTCCAAACAAAAGATTTTCCTATTAATTCACTTTTCAGCGTAGCATTTCGTGTCAATGAAAGAGGGCATTACCCAAAATTGAATAATACAAAGGCGGATCACATTCAAATTAATTTGAATATATAAAATAGAATATCCGATTTGATGTGGTAACTTCAAACAATTTTGCAAAATTGAAACATTCACAAAACGACTGAAATTGACAATTTCACCTTCGTCTCACATTGAAATTAAGAAAAAACAAAAAAAACCGTTAAAGCAGTGGTTTAAGCTCGTCATTGAAGATCTCTTGTTCTTGTAACATGAGTTGAGTCAGCTGTGTTTATTCATTGAAATTGTGCAAAGAAAAAAAAAATGATATCATGGCTCGACATTTCGTAATAATTCGCATAAAAAAGGCATTACAGAATGAGAAATACCAAATGGCAATCTGCATGAAACCAGCTAAATAAATAGAGAAAAAAAGGGAAACACCCGCGCACAACGAGTGACACAGAGAAACAAACATTGATTGAAGGTATTTTTCATGGAAAATGGGAAAAATGGTATGAGTGAATAATAATAATGAAATTTCGGCATATGCCTCGTGTGTCCATTATTATGAAGCCATATTATTTATGCTTTTTTCTTCTATTTTCCATATTTATACAAGTTTTTTTTTCTTGCAATCATTGTAGTGTGTGCAAAGCACTGTAAAACCCTAACGTCATGGCTGCACAATGATTGATGAAAAGCCGAAAAAAATATATGTAAATGCCTTTTTATTGGCATACAAAAATCTCATGCCCATTATGAATATTCCAAAATGCATAGATTTTGAGAAATACGATGGTTTTGTCAAAGTCAAAGACAGTTGCTAAGATAGAAATGTCGCATTTTTTTATCATGGACAAAACCAGCTCTCGTTCTCACTTCTATCGATGGTTAAAAAATATCGAGAAAGGTGCTCTTATGCGACTACATAATATGACCACAAAAAGAAGTCGTATTAACAGTTGTGCGACTTCACAATAAAGTGTTTTTAGCATATGGCCTAAGTAGCAATTCAAATCCAGATGCCTTTTATGCGAATCACTTTCTTATGAATAATCACCACCAGAATATCGTAAATTCACCATTTTACATTGTGCTTTTGAATTCGGTAACCACACAAGCCAGCATCATTTGCGAGTCTTTAATAACTTAATATGAAAAAATGAATTGAATTATTGTGCAATAAATGGCATGATTTTTGGTTTTGATCTGAATAAATATCCACGACGAAATTTTTTGACGAATATAAATAATCTTTTTCTGTGTTATTTCATTATTGTTTTTTTTTTTTCAGTCAATAGCCAATTTTCAAAGCAAAGCATTCAAGATCGACTAGACAAGTCGCAACTCATGATGGATACAAATTCAACAAGCACGTTTGGCAGCTTCGTACAAAATACCAGTCGTGTTTCGAATATATCAGAAATCGACGAATCTGACAATGGTAACGTGAATTTCTATGCAGCAACACGATTAATCACAAAAAATATTCTGGAAATATTTATCTATGACCAAAATAATTTTCCCTATTGACCGTTATTCATTTTATATTCTTTCTTTTAAATTCATTCTTGGCATTATCCAATCTCTCCGCATTTGTGGTTCGTGATGACAAAAAAAAACGCACGTCCATGCACATAAATCAAATGGACATTTTATGGTGGTTCAGATATTTTGTACGAAGTGCCTATCGGAGTTATCGTTCTATTATCTATATTTTATGGTAGCATCAGCATAATTGCGGTCATTGGTAATTCGTTGGTAATATGGATCGTAGCAACTACACGTCAAATGCAAACAGTTACAAATTTATTTATAGCTAATTTGGCGCTTGCTGACGTTGTCATCGGCATGTTCGTCATTCCATTTCAGGTAATTTTCATTTTTTTTTCATCCATTGAACGGTTATTTTTTCATTGTTGTATTATTCAGTGTCCAAAATATATTCATATTGTTTTACTTATTAGATATATGGAATCTCCTTTTTAAACGTATTCATGCACATATATACCTATCATTATCAAGCTTGGTGATTTCATATAAATAGCACTCAAGATGTATTAAACTTCAGGAATTCCTCAAACAAAAACGGTGAAGAATGTACATTCAAGGTACAAAGTGAAAATTCTTCTGTAAAATTAGAAAGCAATTGTAGAAATGTCGAAAGCTCTTTGTTGTTAATCAAAATAACTCACTGAAATAAATGCATCGATTGTATATGCATTCAGCTCAATATCGATCATTTTACAGAAATGTAATCCGATTCTCGGTTTTTCCGTTATAAAATATCTATAGAATTCTGTTGTTTTGGTTAAATTTCTCGAAACAATGAATTTCGTTTACGTTCTCAATTTGGTATTTTGTTGGGATGAGCGCCAACAATTTAAGGAGTTGTGCATTTTAATTTAATGCGTTCGTCAGCGTAGTGGTTTATTTGAATTTAAATTGAACGAATTGGTCAGAATCAAGTCATTTCACAGTCTTATACTCGTGCAATATTAAACCGTTATGGATTGAAGATTGTCAGTTATCGTCGATTAAATGTCGGTTGATTTTAAAATTTTCTTGGGGTGCATGAATGTTACGTAAAAGGGTCTGGGTCTTGGGCAACAATTTTACCATTTAAAACTTTGAAATAAATACTTTAGCTATTTCATTATATCTAATTGTTTTTATTTTGTGTGTTTCTCTTTGTTTGTTTGGTTTTATTTTTGTTTTTTCGCATTGCCACTTCTTTTCGGTTTGAATGCGTTCAGTTTCAGGCGGCATTACTTCAACGATGGCATTTACCCGAGTTTATGTGCGCGTTTTGTCCATTTGTTCAAACGGTAAGCGTAAATGTTTCGGTGTTCACATTGACAGCGATTGCTGTGGACAGACACAGGTTTGTACGAAAAATTTAAAGCTAAACAGACAGATTCAGTAGCTAATTTATTTTCTTCTCATTTTCACAGAGCTATAATCAATCCGCTCAGGCAAGTACTTTTTTGTTTAGTTTTTTTTTTTTTTTTTTTTTAAACCTTTTTTAATCGGTTTGATTCTGTCAATTTCTCAGCTCACTTCGATAAGAATCCAATTGAAAAAAGAATGATCGAGCAAACAAATCGCCTTTCATGTATATTCATACAAAAAGGAAAAAGTTTTTCTCTTTTCTTTCGCATAAATTAAAATAAATCTCAAACTACTACTTATAATTTCAAATTAATAATTGATATAGAGTAGTTATAAACATCTTATGTTGTTTTGTCTTAAGTGGCTTATCGGACATCGGAAGCTCGTTTCAACTGCCCTTGAGGTAAAATTTCAAATAGACCTTCGGCAATGAAACTAATAACATTTCGTTTCATTTTGCTATTCACTCTATGTTTGTTTCGGGTTCGAAACTCCTTTAAAAATCTGTTCGCTTAATATTATGCTGCTTCAATAAAAGTGAATTAATTTGCCGGTTTACTTGATTAAAATTTTGAAATATTCGAAAAATGTTGTTATTGTACTATTGTTGGAAATTACGCACCGCCGTAACCAATTAAATTGAATGTTTCTTACGAAATTATTAAGTTTATATCCAAACATTCATTTCATTTTGCTATTTCGATATAAATGTTGTGGTAAAATTGCTTCTGTCTACCGCTTCAACAACAAATTTATATTCGGCGAGCAGTTGCAATCAATGGCAGAAAAGTGTCTTTTTGTAAATGTTCTCAATAATTGACAATGACTGCATACCAAAGTTGAATAAAAAAAAAAAACAAATAAAAATTTGCCCACGTCGGAATGTTGTGAGCGAACGGTGTAACCGAACTAAAATGAAAAGGCTCACTTTGAAATTGAAAGTTTTCATTTTGAAAGGGAATTACATTTATTTTAATGAGCTTTATGCACTTTTAACATCCTTGCGTCTCCCATCCGTTCGTAATGCTGGGGAAAAAATAAATGTCTAGACACGTAAAATTTCCGATTTTTCCAGCCAGAAACAAATAATTGTTGAACCAATTGATGGGTTCAAACGTAAATAACATCGATTCTTGAATTCTTGGTGTCAATGAAGAATGAGAAAAGAAGAGTAAATGATATAGAATTATGAAAAAGCACAAAATACCTAACTTATATACCAACATTACACAGTGTTGGATTTTATTTCTGCCACCTTTGACACAACTTGACGGCATCATAGACTGTGTGTCTTGACTGTTTTCATTCAAAAAAATCAAGACAGAATTTCCGGAAATGTTATACAAAAACTCCTTATAAAGCATTTAATATTCAATATGATTCCGAGCAAAAATAATTTTAACATAATTATTTTGTTTTCGAACAGAGTCTCTTTTCTCCTAGAAGCTTCAGTCATTAATAAATGATGAACAAAGCATGACGATAAATGAATATTTAGCGACAAAGATTTTATAAGATTGTCCTTAATTGTTCATATATGTGTCGCATTTTCATTCGAATAATGAAATATTTTCCTTTTATATTGAGTCAAAAAATTAAGCCAAATGAGTTTTAAGACAATCACGTGGAAAATAAGTAATGCCAATGTAAATTCAAATTAAATGTCCAATTTCAAGAACAATCAAAAAGTACATTTATTATCAGGAAGAGATCCGCTTTTGCAAGAAGGATTTGAAATCTTCTACCGAAGCAACATAGTTGTGTTCAAAACGATGATAAATCGGCTGTGTATTCATAATTTTGCTACACTTAATTTGAACATTTTCAGTGTAAGCATATCGCTTGCTGACCCCAGTAGGAGGCGAGAGCATGACCATATCACAAGAAAGTGACCATTTAAAAACATAATATTGATGTACACTTAACCTACACTTAATTTCAAGGCTGGTATGGCCAAATCACTTAATTTCATAGTAATATCGTATATGAAGGCAAAATTGTTACCTGCACTTAATGTACACTTTTTAAAACCAAAATACATTACAGTGCCGTCAGAAAATTTGAGACCAAGCTCATTTTTTTTCATACAATTTCATACAAATTGACGATTTTTTGGAGAAATATTTAATTTTTTGTACTTATTATTTTATTTAGGTTTGCACTTTCAAGTGTGAAAAATGACATGAAAAATAATTCTTGATATTTGTTGAATTTTGACTAGCCAAGATGTGGTAAGCCCCATTCAAGTATGATAGCATATAATGGTAAACAGAGAATTTGCTGAAATCCCTACGAATTTCAGATCTATCTAAACAATTGCTTTCAGATAGATTCGCTTTAAAACCATTAAAAAAAATATCTCTAAAACATAAATTCGAAGTATGAGTCATTCAGAAACAAAGTATGAGTTATTCAGTTATTTTCAGCATTCGATACGATTGCCAATCAATTATTTTTCGTTTCTTCTGTATAAATTAAGTTCAGATTCAGATTTCAACAAGCATTGTGGTGTTTCAACCGAACTGACCTTTTATTTCCATTATTCTATCACTGCGTTTCATTGTAATCGGAACGACACGTGTTTCCCGTTGTTTCTAGCTTAAACCTGCTTCAATGTTGATCAAGTCCAAGTATCAATTGCCAAAGAAAAATCCATCACAACTTTATAGCTGTTGCTATCCTGCACAAAAAGAGATAAAAAAGAGACCAGCAGCCAAATGTGGTTTATGATTTATTTTTTTCGCTCAGTCTGTTTACGTGTTTGTATTTTTTGAGCGTAAATATACAAATATGGGCGAGAAAAGAATTCGAGGAAACAATGTGATGGCAATGGACTTTTTTTTGTTTGGGAGAAAACAATATCGTTGAACATGATTTGGAATCACAATGTTTTGATTATTCATATATTTAGTTTTTTTATCGAATTATTGTTAGCAACCATATTATAAACTCCAATAGCACAGGTATTTGTTCGTCATTGTTCCTCTTAAGTTATATTCTTGACATTATTTAAACGAATTTCCTACATCTCTCCAAAATTTACCCATACAATGTTGCTAGCTAGCTAATCATATCAGCTATTGCTATAGGGATGTATAAATAGCTGCTATTTAACGCATCTCTTCGCTTGTACGAAGCTTGGTCTCATTGTTTAAAATTTTTAACGTTTTAAATCATTCCAAAACAATGACACCATTGTTATGTCGAGTATACGCAGCATCCGAGAAAGATATGCGTTAAATAGCAGATATTTATATATCCCTATAGCAACAGCTAATATAGATAGCTAGCTAGCAACATTGTATGAATTTACCTTGAATTTGTGGGCGACATTTTACGATATTTAAATCCAACTTTGACCTTATTCCTTCAAACAAAAATGATGTAATTCCATTTTTGGTTAGTTTTCCTGTTCCCCAATGTGAAATCGCTAGTCCATCTGATTTATCCACGAATTTTCCAAGATGTTGGAATTTCTTCAAAGTCTCAAAACATTTTCTTCCAAACTTTTGATGATTACTGTAGATTAGTCATTCAAAGTTAAGCTACAACGTTAATAGAATTGGTAGAATTTTAAGAACAAAACCCCATTCAAATAGAGTATCTCTTGTAATAAGAGTCTTATCGACTCCAATCCCAATAGTTTTATCCGAAATTAATTGTATCGAATATTTTACAGGATTTAATTGCGTTATTGTTGGAATTCAATTTGCTATCTGGGTTTCAGACATAATAAGAAAAACAAACTTTTGAATTAGAATCTTCTCGAATATGCGTCAATATTTCAAAACTTATAAATGTTTATGTACATTTCTCGAGTATTTCATTTCATAATTGAAACTAATGGCTATAGCTCAATATATAAGCATGTCATATAAACATCTAATGAAGCATTCAGAATTCCTATGCATGAATAAATAACATAAGGTTTTAATTCAATAAATCAGATCATGTTTGCAGTGAAGAAATAAATAAAAAAAACGCTAGAGAGAAAGTGATGGACTCGATTCATTGGCAGATTTAATTCCGCTCAATTTTTGAAACTCAAAAGACGAAATTATTGCAAACACGTGCACGCGCTTAGAAGAAAATCAAACACTTGAACTCAGATACTTGACAGTACAGTAGCTCATTATAGAAATACAAAAAAGATCTTAATAATACAATAAATTATGCGCTCCAAAATGCATATATTTAAATTAACATTTCTCTCATATCGTTCGTTTTGGATAAAATACTGCGCATATTACGACAAGGAAAAGAGCTTACATTTCTGCAATCGCTATTGTTTTCACTTTTCACTATTGTAATCACCGCGCCATGTTTGAATACTTTTTGTTGATACAGCCGTCTTATGCAACAATAATATTGCATAAGCGTGAATTTTGAAAAGGAAAGACGAAGGAAAGAATGGAACTTTTATTTGGAAGTATTTGTTATTTGATTACTGATAATCTCTACGATAATCGTGTGGTAATAATATCGGGTTTTTGATATAAACAATTGTATGATGAAATTGCGTTTACCATGATAAAAAATTGAGAGTAAACTGTTTAAACTTGGCTAAGATTAATAAATAATAGAAATATCCGTCAATGTTGCAGAGGCTCAAAATTCGATGGAAAGTTTCGTGAAAAAATATGCTTAACATTTTTTTTGCGTGGAATTTGACAAATACGTTATAGAATCGAAGGTTTATTTTTTATCTTTGACAAATCAAAGAATGAAAAAAAATGAAAGTCGAGACTTGGGAAATTGAGCTATATTGTTAGCTTATTGAATGTTATCAATACAGATTTCCTGCAAATATGCACTCGTTCATAAAAACGGCTTCATTGATGTCAGTTTCATTAGCTTTGAATCTAACAAATATTCATGGCATTTGTGGCCATGATTGATTTAAAAAAAAACTGTCAAAGAAAACATTATTCATTTGAGTGACTTGATCTTGCCTTGGTATTTATTTAAAAGTTGTATAAAAATACTAGCAAATATATTAAAAGATACACAGACCCAACAACATTCCCATTTCAATTGATGGAGAGAGGAAAATTTCAAAGAGCAAAAATTCGTCAAATGCGCT